TTGTGTCTGGGAGAAGGGAGCTGTGACAGGAGAGACCAACCCCCACCAGTCAGTGGGGCAGCTGGACAAGAGGGCACAGACTCAAGCTCTGCCAGGGGAGGGTTAGTTTGGATATTGGAAGAGATTTTTTACAAAGAGAGAGTGCTCAGGCATTGGAATGTGCTGCCCAGGGAGGTGGTGGATTCACCATCCCTGGAGGTTTTCAAGCTGAGACTGGATGTGGCACTTAGTGCCATGGGCTAGTGACCACGGTAGGGTTGGACTCGATGATCTTTGAGATCTCTTCCAACCAAGTTGATTCTATGATTTTATGATTCTATGACTGTGTGTGTTTTTAAGAAGGGAGCTGTGACTCTCTGTGTCTGGGAGAAAGGAGCTGTGGCTCTGTATATCTGGCAAAAGGGATCACGATCAAAGAGACACACTCAGCTTTTACTTTATTTCTGCCCTCAGAACTAATGAGACCAATTTCACAACAGTTACAGCAGCACTAGAAGTTATTTTTTTTACACTCCTTAGCGATCCTACCTTTTTTTTTTTTTTTTTTTTTTGACTAGAAAGGAACACTTAACACCCATCATTTAATTCCGTTTGGAAACGAAGCTGTTGCTTCACAGCGTGTGACTCCACTCACAGAGCTCTGGATGTTGATGAATGCTGCTGTGTCTGCCTGCATTGAGGTGGGCTTCAGCAGTTGCCAAGTGAAAAGTTGGCTGGGATGCAGCACAGTAATTTCTTGAGCACTCTATTCATGTTGTATAAACAGATAACATTAACAGACTTGTGAAAGAGCTACAAGCTCATTAAGGCCCGTGGGGTTTACAGTAACGAGGCTCGTGCGTTTCTGGATCTTGGTTTCCTGTTGCACCTGAAAAAAAAAATCAGCAAATACTGTAGAGAAGAAATGAGAAGTTTAGTCTTGTGCTGCTCCAGCTGAAACTTTCCCACAAGTCTTTTTTTGCTATAAATAAGAAGTGAAAGAGTTCACAGCTAAATTTAACCCTTAGCTTGATTGTTTTCTGGGTTTGCTTTGGTGGAACTGACTGTAGGAAGATGAGGACAAAATGGATCAAGAAGTTGCATGTATGCTGTATAAAAAAAATGGATTTTTATAGAAGATCACCATTTCTAGGGCTTATCAAGGGGGAAATCATTGTTAATTGGAATTCCCCTCTCCTTCCCATCCAAAAATGATGATTTTTGAAAGAAAGGAAGTGAATGTTACTTCTCAGAGAAATGCTCAAGCAGGAGAGCTTGCAGTTCCCATAATTATAGGCAAAACCACTGTCAATGTCCTACAGTGCATAGACATTGCTTGCTCTGCTTTTAGACATCATTTACCATGCTGGAAAACCCCTTTCAGTTTGACTCGATTTCACAATTTCCATCAAGTTAAGCAACTGCAGCTCCTAGAGGCTTCAAGAGCTGAATTAAAAACTGCTTCAAGGTGCTTAAAATGATGGGCTGTGCTGATAGCTGCAGCTTTAGTCCCCTTCTAGGGCTTGGATGAGGGAAGGGCAATGTGGTTATGTGACTGCAGAGCCTCAGCACGGGCAAGTCCTTGGTTTGTGTTGCTTTGACTCAAAAATCAGCTTAAAGTTGTGCTAAACCGAGCGCAGAATTTGTTTGTCTCTCTCCAGCTGCACACAGGGTTTTGGAATTGTTGTTTAAACCTGTATGTGTGTCACATTTAGACTATTAAACATGCTGTGGTTGAGGGGGGAGGGTTCAAGTAGGAGTTGGAGGAAGGTCTCCAGGGACGTGTTCGGCCGCTGGTCCCAGCGGAGGAGCGATGGGTGTGCGGCAGCACGTGGGTTCCCTCTTGTCTCTCTTTTACACCTTTCCCTTGGGAATGGAAAGGCCAGAAAAGAGCCTGTCCCGATTTAATGATTATATAAACTCAAGGCACACATTGTCAGGGAGTTTGTCCACATGGCAAAGCTTAAAATACAACCCCCTGTTCTTCGCAGACCGTTAACGGCGGCCGACAAGGTGATACGTTTCTCTGGCAAACTCCTTGGGATATGTAGGGGTTTTTGGAAAAGAAAGAGCCCATAAATCCCGTGGCAAGGTTAGTTTGAAATGCTTTGAGAAGTGGAGCTTGCCCAGGCTCACAGCACTCGTGTTCCTGAAGCCTTACTTGGGAAGGAAGCTCTATCTGCAGGGGAAGGGGCAGATTCGCTGCTGAGGTCATTGTTTGCTCGAGCTCTGTAGCTGGGGACAGCCCAGCTTGGCTTCTAATGTAAACATAGTGTAAAATGTTTATCACCAGCTTTGTCATTTGCCTTATTTGTCAGGGAATCTCGAGGAGAAGGAGCAGTTTTCTGGGGCTGCGTAGTGAGCCGAGGGAGTTGCAGGATTGCCATAAAAAGGCAGAGTCGGCGCTGGGGCGAGCACGGAGGTTCTGCCTTGGCAGCCTCACATTGGGCCTGACCTTTTCCAGAGAGAAAACACTGACCTAAATCCTTCCCTGCTGGGGGTGGGAGGGAGAAGAAACCTCTCTTTCTGATCTCATTTTCTTGTGCAGTACTCACTGGTTTGTGGTGTAAAATGCTGAGAAAGCAGTGAGAGCTTGTGCTGCCAGTGCAGCTGGGATTGGGCACATGTGGCTGTGTTGTTTGTACCATGGTGTGTTCATCCTCTTCCTCTCCAAACTCCACCAGGCTCACAGATCCAGCTTTGGGTGTCTCATAAATTGGAGTGGGTGTCTCAACTCGAGTGTCCAGGTAGAAAAATAACCCCCATAGCTGTTGATAAAGATATTATATCTCTCAGGAGGATTTGGTGAAGGGAGTGTGTTGCTGCTATCAGGGACAGTGTCATAAATCTGTGTTTTTAACTTGGTTTTTTTCATGTTTTGCAGGTCATTGCTATCTGAACAGGCCACACCATGCGTGAGTACAAGCTAGTGGTCCTTGGTTCAGGAGGTGTGGGCAAGTCTGCATTGGTGAGTCTTGGGAAGGAGTTCTGAATCTGATCCACTTCAGACTGATCTGTCTCTCTGCAGACAGTGTCACTAACACATTGGGATGTGTGTATGACTTTGAGCACGTGCCATGACTTCCCTGTAACCCCTGTTACACTGCTGAGAGAGCTGTGGAGGTGTGTCATGTTTGCAGAGGTGATTAATCACTGTTGTAATAGTTAGCATTTCATTTCTGCCTCCTGCATGGCTGTTCTGTTGTAAATGACTGAATGTCTGTAAGTATTCAAAGCCTCAACCTACACTGGAACAGCAAGTGAAGTCTGGCTGTGCAGTGAATTAGAATCATCAAATTAGAGATGGTTTCAGCCTTGCACACCTTGAAGGCTCTATGTTTTCCATCCCAAATGAGCAGCACAGCCTGAAAACACAGAATGAGAAGCACCTCCAGTTTGTGCAGTGCAGAGGGAGGAGCTGAGTGATGGCACTTTGCACTCCTTAAGTACTTGTGTTGTTCCTCAGAAGAGGTTTACATAGCAGAGTTGATAGTAAAGCATTGTAAAAGGGATTTCTGTCACCCACTTATCACCAAGCAGCTGCTCCAACAAGAAAGGCAAAGACCTGGTCAAGTGTAAAGTTATCTAGGACAAGAAACTACACTGTGTTCCTTGTCACAGAGGAAGATAATGACTGAGCAGCCATTGATGTCTTGCACTGTTGTTTATTCTGCTGATATAACCAGGTAATAATCCTGGTAAATCACCTGTAGAATTCAGATAAACAGGAGGAAAGATGATTCAATTACGGAGCAAATTTGAGTTGCTCTTTCAGAGGTCCCACCCTAATCTTTACAAGGTGTAGGTGTCTGTTCTTCCACAGCAACTTCATCCATCTACATTACTTTTGCCACCAGCACCTCCTTGATTGAGTATCATCTGTTATGTAACACTGGAAGACTCACTAGGTAAATGAGGGCAATTATTAATATGCTGTGCATAAAAAAAATTATTCAGCATCTGACATACTTGGATTGCTTGCTTTGTGAAATCTGAGTCAGCAGCATCCCTGACCTTTTTACCAGCTGAAATGCAAATACTCAGCCTGGTAAACAAAAGTTAAATTCTCTTTGACAGTCTGAGTGCTAAGTCAGCACATTTTGTGATTCATATGAAACATAGATTCATTATGCCTATAACAGCACACAATAAGTGCCAATTAGCAGCTGAGAGTGGCTAATATTCAGCTCTCAAGGTGTTTGTGTATTTATTTACAAGCATTAGCAAGGAGAGGTTCCAGGGTGGGATGTCAAATAATACAGAGGTCCCTTTAAATTTGCTTCTTCCAACTGTATAAACTGAACTGGCCAACAAAGGGGCTGGTGTTCGTTTTCAGTCCCGTGTTTGCATTGGAGTGCAGATGACAATATGGTGTTGTTTCACTGTAAATCCTCCTTGTTGTTTTAACTCTTCTGTGCCAATGTGATGCTGATTGTGCTTTTGGTAACCATGATGGAGTAGTAGAAAACCTTCCCAGGCTGAGATAACTGTGCATTGTGGCAAGAAAATGTTGGAAAGACAAAGGCTTTGATCATTAGAGTGTAAAATAGGTTTGTTTAGTGGTAGGGGATGACTTTTAAATAAGGGAGGGAGTACTAGAAGACTTTTATTATGTTTAAAGGCCACCAAGTTGCTAAGAGGACTGGAGCATCTCCCCTGTGAGGACAGGCTGAGGGAGTTGGGGCTGTTCAGCCTGGAGAAGAGAAGGTTGTGTGGAGACCTCAGAGCAACCTTTCACTCTCTGAAGAGCCTACAAGGAGCTGGAGAGGGACTCTGTGTTAGGAGCT